TTATGCCCCTAGAAGTATGCGTTTACGATTCGATGAGGGTGATGAGCTCAGGTCATCAACCAGCTCAGACTAAGCAAAACGATGGAATTTATCCATATTTAACGTTCTAGGATAGATATCTCAAATGATTTTGGTATCCGTTCGTGCATATAGCATGAGAGCAATTTAAAGGATAATACCCAAGCCACCTAGAAGTACATTCGCTTATTTCTGATGGAGAATAAATTACAAAACATAGCGCCAAACCTAAATCGACCTTGATTTCGAAAATTTAGAATTAAGTGAGGAATTTCACGAGATCCTCAATGAATGTATTCTCTATTGTTTAAGCACCAGAGAGGTGGTCATTTACAGTACCAGATATTAGCTAATTTTCAAACAGGTGGTCTAGTTTCTTGTAATTTTCGAAAAAAATAAGTTAATAATTTAAACAAAAAGGATCCATCTATCTTTTAACATAAGAAAGCGTAAACTAACGTACTTATGCTCGAAGTTTTTTGAATAATAAGGACGTCAGCAAAATATTCTTGCAAATCTTAAGATGGGAATAAAGGTTGGGGACAACATTTAAACAAAATCTGCAGGAGCATCACCTCGCATAATTTTTCATTAGGCAATCGGCCAGCTCGCAAAAGAACCTCGGAACGCGTGAGTTCCTCGGCATGTGCAGTTTGCAGATGACGCCAGGCCAGATCTGATGCATTGAAACCTACTAGCGGCTCACTAGAAGTCCTGAGATTAGAAGAAATTCCCGAGGGACAACACCACGGACAGATGTAGAGTGGAAGATCACAATGCCGACGACTGTCAATTACGTGTTTTCGTAAGGAGTCGAGTTCGCTCGTTCGATAGTCACAGTGCGGACAGAGGTAGGGCCGGGATCCAGCGTGTATGCGCGAATGACGTCGAAGGTTAGATGATGTAGTGGCTCGGTAATTGCAAATTCTACACGTGTAGCGACCTGATGATGTTATGGGTTTGGTGGTAGTTACCATGGCTGTTGTTAGGAATGAAAAATAGCTAGTGGTAAGCATAAAAGTATTGATTAAAGGGCGTTAGATGTAGGGGAGATTATAAATATGCTGATGACGAATGTAGTAATAGTAAAGTTGATGCTGTTATAACACGATGGATGCCAAAATAGTTAAAATTCAATAACAGTGGATACATTCTTAAAGATGTTGAGGTTAGTCATACGAAGGATAAGGATATTTAGATAATAGTTACATGTGATAGTAACTTAATTACATTGGTAATAAAGTAAAGGTGAAAGAACCCAACGAGATTCACAACCAAAAAGTCAGCTCAAAGTAGTAACAGAGTAGGTGAAATAGACCGGATAGAATCTGTGGACAGCATTAGAGTGCCAGTAATTCTGGCCACAATTTTCATTGACATCAAATTACCACTGATAGGATACAAGTAATTGAAACGACCGCCCGAAAAACGCTTTTCAAATAATTAGTGTTTTGTGGCATTATATTCTGGCAATTTATTCTACAACGTGGTTGCAACTCAAGAATAAAGTGGAATAAGAGTAACTGGGTGTCAAGTATATGAAAGCACTGATAACCGATCGTTTCAAAGCGAATGTGGAAAACGCCTTGATAAAGCAGCGTTGTTAGTAGACATGGGTGATATATCCTTTACTATTCCCTTATTTTTTCCATCCTTTCACTGACGGCATCGAATTCTGTGGCAGATTTCCTTTCCTTTACATCCTTCTTCAAGCGTTTAAATATATTACTCTCCTGTTCAGCACCACACGTTAGCTTAGCTCAATTTAGCTATTATAAATACTGAGATAACTTGTTGATAATTCTAATCTAAAATAACCCAGCAATGTCCGAGAAAAAGAAGAAAGTTAAATGTAGATATAAAAAATGCAGTCATTTTCTAGAAAATAAACCAGCCTCTTTTATTTGGACTAATTCTGTCGAAATAACTCGGAAAGAACTTAATTTTATAAAGGAAAGATACGAGCTAAGAGTTGATAGAGAAGAGAGCAAATCACTAA